CTTACGGTTTTCAGTTTTGGTTTCAGGTACCTCCAGTTTTCAAATAAAGGAGCTCGGGACGATCGCAGCGCATACACCCATGTATTTCCGTAATATGTGATCTTTGGGATTAGACTCTGATATTAGTTTTAATTGAAATGTTTTAGTGTCTGGAACAAAGTTATTAAGTGTTTTTCCTATATTAAAAATGAAATTTTTACCTTGGATTTTTGGGTTGTTACACTTTTGGTAAGCTCTCACAATATTTTATTGTACATTAGATTTTAAGAAAACACGTGAAAAAACATATGCACCAATCCAATACATATGTACAGTGAAGTAATGATATCAGTGACAAGCTTAGCGTTCCAATTGAACCATGATGCTTTATTAATCTCATAGTATAACTATAATTACATATAACAAATTCTGATTAAGAATCCATCCTAACTACAATTACATATAACAAGCTCCCAATTTTTTTCAAGTAAACTTTCAAAAAAAAAAAAAAAAAAAAACTTATGCATTTGACTGATGCATTGTTTTTTTTATTTGTTTCACAGAAACATGATTGAACTTTTAAAGCTCTGTTTTTTCATTAATTGACATTGAGTAATAAATTATCTATTAATTGATTGAGAGTTGTGACTTACGGAGAATACGAGAGGAGACGAAACGAGAGAAGAATGTGTTAATCGGAGCAACGATGTGAAAGATGGCGTCGACAGCTACAAATTTACATGATGAAGCTACAAATTTATGAATCAGTCAAGCGGTGGTTGTCGGATCATCGATTATAGCGATTGATGTAAGAAACCGACGACCTTGTTGCATCAATCAAGTGTAATCAGAAGATAAATCAAATTTGAGGGTTGTTATTGAGTTTGTTAGTTCGTTCTCATAATTTGGGTTCGTTGTTGATCTTTCTCTCTCTCTCTCTCTCTCTCTCTATATATATATATATATATATCTATATATATATATATATATATATATATATATATATATAATATATATATAGATCTATATATATTACTATATAGAGAGGGAGAGCGAGAGGGTTTAATTGAGAAAAAAGGTTGAGAATGAGGGAATGAATCTGACCCTTCTTTCGAATCTGCGCGTAAGCGCTCCAACGTACCGGACCGACGGAACATGTCATATTCATATATGAATATGTATATTCGTATATGAGTAAGTGTATTCATATATGAATATGGCGGCAGTGGGTGGTGACGGAGGTTGGTTGTGGTGGTGGCGGATGTGGCAGTGATGGTCGATGGTAGTGGTGGTGGTAGTTGGTGGCGGATGGAGGTGGTGTATTCATATATGAATACACATATATTTATATTCATATATGAATATTACGCATCCTCTGTCAGCCGGGTATGCTGGATCGTTTGCGACAAAAATAAATGATTGGCTGAGAATGATTTCCTCTTTCTCAACATTTTTTATTTTCTCAATTGAACTTACTTCTCTCTCTCTCTCTCTCTCTCTCTTCTCTCTTATATATAATATATATATATATATATATATATATATATATAATATTGATATATATATAGGGTCCGATTCCGGTGATGACTCTTTTTAAAGTGAGGACTCGTGAGGACACCTTAAAAAAATTGAAAAAGAATCTAAAAAAAAAATACAAATCATAAAATCGAGCATAGTACTATATCCGTGAGAAAAAAAAATTGGAAAAAAATTTTGCATCATAAAAATTGAATCATGGATCATAAAAATGATCCATGCTTCAATTTTAATGATCCAAAAAAAAAATTTCCCAAATTTTTTTTTCTTTACGATATAGTACTATGCTCGATTTTATGATTTGTATTTTTTTCAGAATTTTTTTCAAGTTTTTGAACACTCACTTTAAAACGAGTCCTCACCCGATATAATATATATATATAATAGATATTAATATATATATATATAGTATATATATATATATTATATATATATATATATTATATAATAATATATACTATATAGAGAGAGAAGAGAGAGAGAGAGAGAAGAGAGAGGTAAGTTCAATTGAGAAAATAAAACTTTTGAGAATGGGGGAATCGTTCTCAGCCACTCATTTATTTTTGCCGCAAAAGCCTTTGTTGTACCAGCAGCAATGGATAAGAATACCCATGTGTTTCCAACAAACCATGTTTCCTTAAACTATGCTAATCATTCCCTTAATATATACAAAAACATAGGTTTTTTGTTGTTTTTTTAATTTTTAAGAAGCTATTTATATCGAAAAATGATTTTAAAATACCCAATTTATGATTTTTTATTTCTCTACAAGGACATCCATATTGATATACTTTTAAGATAAATAAAAATTTATTTTTTTTATATTTTCAGCTATCGTTATTCATAAGTGAATAAAAAATGCATCAGATTTTTGTTACAGTACATTCGTTATTCACTTATGAATAAAACATATAATTAATTTTTTTTACAGTTTAAGTATCTTTATACTACTTATTCATATATGAATAACAAATTAACTGTAACAAAAATCTGATAAATGTTTTATTCATATATGAATATAAAATATGACGACAACTAATACAAATTTTATTCATATATAAATATAATATATGAGAAGATGATGTAAAAAATATATTTTAAGTAAGAAAACTTTATTGCGTGTCATATTCATATATGAACGGTACTTAAACTATAAAAAAAAAGTTATGCATGCGTTTTATTCATAAGTGAATAATGAATATACTGTAATAAAAATCTGATAGATTTTTTTATTCACTTATGAATAACGAGAGCTGAAACTCTAAAAAAAATAAATTTTTTATTTTATCTTAAAAGTAGGGATGAGCTTTGGAACCGGAACCGGTTTTCCTATATTATAAGAACCGGGAACCGGACCGCCGGTTCTAGCGCCGGTTCCGGTTCCGGTCCCGGTTTTTCGGTTATTTTTCAAAGTAGAACCGGTTGAAATACTATAGATTATATGTTATCTTCTGGAGCTTGTAAATGATTCAATATTTAACCAAATTATGACTTTTTACATTCTAGATTGAAGTACAAACACTAAATTACATGATGAAAAAAGAATCAAGTAATTCCGACTTCATATGAGTGAGTTATGCGCATTTTAAAAGCGGAGACAGATTTAAAAAAATAAAAATAAAAAATGCTGAAACAGAAAAAAACGCAGCATTGATATGTTGTCTTCCGGGGTCTATAACTGATTCAATATCTAACCAAAATATGTGTTTTATAGTCTAAATGAAACTAAAAACACCAAATTACATGCTGGAAAAAACATTAAGTAATTACGACGTCATATGAATGAGTTATAAACATTTAAAAAATGGGACATATTCAAAAAACAAAAAAATAATGCTGAAATAAAAAAAACGCAACATCGATATGCTTTCTTTCGGTGCATGTGTCTGATTCAATATCTAACCAAAACATATGTTTGTACCGTCAAAAATGAATTACAAACTCCAAATGACATATTGGAAAAAAATCAAATAATTTCGACTTCATATGAGAGAGTTATGTGCATTTTAAAAAATGAAAAAAAATGTCAAACCGGTTCCGGTTTTCATAAAAATGGAGAACCGGTAACCGGACCTATTACCAATTCCGGTTCCGATTCCGGTTCGGTTCCGGTCCGGTTCCGGTTCCGGTTCCGGCGGTTCTATTGCTCATCCCTACTTAAAAGTATATCAATATGGATGTCTATTTATAGAGAATAAAAAATTATGAATTTTGATATATTTAAAATAATTTTTCGATAATAATGGCTTTCTAAAAATAAAAAAAACGAAAAAAAATATGTTTTTGTGTATATTAAGGTAATGATTAGCATAGTTTAAGGAAACATGTTTGGTTGGAAAACACATGTTTATCCGTTATCCATTTCCGACGGTACGCCTAAGTGTTTTGCGGCAAAATAAATGTGTGGCTGAGAATGTTCCCCCATTCTCAACCTTCTTTTTTTCTCAATTGAACCCTCCTCTCTCTCTCTATATAATATATATATATATATATATATAATATATATATATATATATATATATATATATATATATATATAATATATATTACAAAGATCTAATATATATGTTATATTATCTTTAAACAAGTATTTTAGATATGTAATTATTATTAAGAAATATTATATTCACCATTAGGATATGAATGTTTTTCAGAAAATAAATAAAATATTAAATGACAAGTGTATAAATGTTGGGAGATATTTGGACCATCGGAGTGGGTGGCCAATGGTTAGCATGTGGCCCAATGATGCCAAGGAGTGGGCAGCCAATGGTCAGCATGTGGCCCAAAGTTCGTAAAAAGAGAAACGGTTCAAGTTTTTGATCATTATCATTTAGCAAACGATGTGGAATCTAAGAAATTCAAAATAAAATAATATAACTTTTTGGTATATTTTACAGTAATAATAAAATTTTGCCATTATATTGGTTTTTACAATGTAGTTTTTTTTATTCATGTATATGTGATTTTTTAAAGAAAATTGTTCCATATCACATCCATTTTTAGTTTTTACTATAAATAAGTTTAAATTGTTTTATCTGTATTTATCATACTTGTTAATATGTATAATTCCTTTTTTTTTAGAACTTCAAGATATACATATCATTTAAATTCAATTTAATATGTTTCCTATCTAAAACCAAATTGAAGAAGAACATATCATATTATAACTTTTTATTATTTTAGATAAATATTTATTATTGTTTATTGTTTATAAAAGATAAAAGATATATTATAGTTTATACATGAGATGTACAATGTATCAACGACATACACAACACACAAATAAAAAAGAACTGACATGGTCAGATATTTTCTTAGATATTTTGAGACAGTGTTCTGTGTTCTTGAATATCGTGCTTTCACCATTGCTTTAATTCTCGATCAAAAACAGTTGATCCAAAAATGCAACTAAAGAAATTGCTATCGTTCGTCTGCACTTTACCGGCATTCTCTTTTCTTCCTTTTCTTCCATTGATAAAGGTATGAAAGCTTCTCCAGAGGTCACTGATTCATTACAGGTAAGAAACAATATTTTTTTTTGTTAATTTCTTTCAGGTTTTTGGTTTTATCTTTTCTATCCTCTCATTGATTAGTCATTGCAATTTTGCTGTAGATTTCCGTGATTTAGCTTCTGACTTTGTAACAGTGTGTCTATTCTATTGATAATCTCATGGACATGAATGAAATCAAACTACAGATTCCTTACAAATTGCGATTTGCAAATATGACTATATGAGAATGTAAATTTCTTCGAATTTGAAACATGGACATATTTAATATTATTAAGGGATTTTTACTGTTTACTGTAAGCAGTCATTTGTCTAATAAATTTGTGAAGCTTATGGATAATTTTGTATGTATCTAATCACTATCATTAAACTTTTTGAAAAAGATTGCAAGTAAATTCCAAACCCTAAACCCATAATCATAATGATAAGCAAACTGGCGAGTAAAATTACTTATGAAGCTCATCAATTCCAAATGTTAAATGAATATATAGATCATTTTCAGTTGTAAAATAGTGGTCATTGACTTGTAAATTTCAGAATGTATCTATATACTCTAATTCTTGCAACGAGTGCATCTTTTATAAGGTTTACATTCTAATCTATATGATCTAAATTTGGTCATTATTTGTAATAGTGTCATGCTGAAAGTTCAAGTCAAACTAATACAAGACTCCTTGGTACAAGTGACATTGGACACTTTGGTGTTGAGACAAATGTGACAAATTATGGCCTCATGAACCCAAACATTGCAACCACTTCAGGCACAAGGGATATTAGGCAAGGATCAAGGCATTGTTTGTCAAGCATGCCTTTAAATCCTGAAAGTGTTACAGCTAGGTTTAATAATGAACAAGAGAATGAAGATCTTCCTAAAGAACAACCATCTGACCAGTTAATGGATAGTAACATCAATAAGAGGTTAAAGGTATCAAGCTCAATGAACTTGTCTAATTTCCTTTTTAGGCAATCTAGAAAGGGAAAAGGGTTTTTGTGCAAAAGTTCAGAGATCTCTGATGAGCCCAATGTTGCAGAAATGACCAATAAAGATTTCATGGGCAGAATGAGTTTTAATGGATCATTAAAGTTAAGTGAAATGACTCTTGATTTCCCTCAAGAAAGTGCATACAAAGGGATGAACTTGAGGAAGTGGCTAAAACACAATTCTATACAAGTGAATAAAGCTGAGAGGCTGCAGATATACAGACAGGTTGTTCAGGTTGTCGATATGACACACTCTCAAGGAAATGCCTTGCAAGATTTATGGCTTTCAAATTTCAGTTTGTTGCCATCAAATGAGATCATTTATTTTGATTCTTCAACAAATTATGAAGTAATAAATAGTGGTCAAAGTAATGGAAAACATATTCAACAAGGGAGAGAGTCATACTCTGTAACTATTGAACTTGAAAAAAAATGGTATGCTTGTCCAGAGGAGCTCTATGGAATGGAATCATTATCAGCAAATATCTACAACCTTGGTGTTCTCTTATTTGAGGTGACAAGGCTATTCTCTTTCATTCTTATATACTCTTATCATAGCAATATTTGTTACTTGCATTATAAACCATTTTAAAATGTTCTGATTCAAAGCTACTTACTTTTATAGTTGACATTTGTTTAAGTATTTCATAATGTAGCTTCAGTGAAACAATGATGTTTATGATCTTACACTAATTTACCCTTTTACCCTCCAGTTACTCTCCTCATTTGCATCATTAGAGATGCATTCTGCAGCAATGTCAGATTTACAATACCGGATCCTTCCACCAAGTTTCATTTCTCAAAATCCACAAGAATCTGCCTTCTGTCTTTGGCTCCTTCATCCTCACCCTTCATCTCGCCCAACAACAAGGTATTCTCTCTCTCTCTTCCAACATTTTATCAAATCTTTCAAAACTTTTTAATTTATAACATTTAAATCTGTATCAGGGAAATCCTACAATCTGAGTTATTAAGTGGAACCAAAGAATTTTACTCCAAGAACACGTATTCTCCAATTATAGACAAGACCAAAGATTCTGAGTTTGAGATTTTACTTAATTTTCTAGTTTTATTAAAGGAACAAAAGGAAAAACACGCGTTGGAGTTATATAAAAATATCCAGTTGTTAGAAACCGATATCAAGAGTTTTCAGCACGTGTTTTATGGTTCAAATACATTCGAGACAAGAATGAAGACAAACATCAGTCATCTTGAAAGTGCTTATTTTAGCAAGAGGTCCCAACTCCAACTTCCTACCATTGTCTCTAATGACCGAAATGACCTCGACCTGTTAGGGAATCATGAAAGGTGCTGTGATGATTTTTTAAAGGGTGTATGTAAGTTTATAAGATATAGCAAGTTTGAGGAATGTGGGAATTTAAAAATCGGGAATCTTTTGAATTCTGCAAATGTGATTTGCTCTTTGAGCTTTGATCGTGATGAGAACTACATTGCTGTTGCTGGTGTCTTGAAGAAAATAAAGATTTTTGAATTTGATTCACTTTTAAATGATTCTGTTGATGTTAATTATCCTGCTGTTGAGTTGGTGAATGATTCAAAGCTTAGCTGTGTTTGTTGGAACAAGTACCTCAAGAATTATTTGGTGTCAGCTGATTATGATGGTGTGCTTCAGGTATGTGTTCTTTAATGAGGGTATTTTGGTCTTTTAATAAAAAAACGGAAGAACGGAGAATTGAATTCCTTCCAATCACCCTTAGTAATGGTGAAATCCATCAAACATGGAATTTGAAGGAATCTTCAATTGGAAGGAATGGAATATGTCAGAGGGAATTGTAATATGCCGTTCGTTTGGTTGGCAAGAAATGGAATGGAATTCAATAATTTTTAGATTTTTATGTGAATCTTAATTCTTTTCTTTCTATTTATTTCAATATGTATTAACGAGGGTATTCTGGTATATTAATTAAAAAAAAAAAGGAAGAACGGAATTGAATTCCGTCCATTTGGAAACCAAACACACCATGGAATGGAATCTTGAATTCCAAATGCGTCAGACAGACTTCATCAAAATCCATGAATCAAACATGCCTTTTAGGGGCTGTTTCTTTTTTACAAAGTGGCTGAATGGCAATCACAATGAGACTAAATGACCATTTTACCCTTCGTCTATTAATGACAATGATGTTTGTCCGAATAAAGTGTTATACACAAAGTCTGTTTATTTATTGAACCAAAATAAACCATGTCAACGAGACTAAATGACCATTTTAGCCTTGGTCTATAAATGACACCGATGTGTTTCTTTTTTTTTTTTTATGTTACTTCTTTTCTCTCAAACAGGTGTGGGATGCATTCATTGGTCAAGGGTTATCTCATTATATAGAACACCAAAGAAGGGCATGGTGTGTTGATTTTTCTCGTGTGGACCCCACACAATTTGCCAGTGGCAGTGATGATTGTTCAGTCAAGTTATGGAGCTTAAACGATGTAATTCTCTCTCAGTACTAATTTTAATATTTTAAACATCAAAAAGCTTTTTTTTTTTAAAAAAAACTTTTAATTTGTTTTTTACAGAAAAAATCAACATGCACAATCAGAAGTGCTGCTAATGTGTGCTGTGTACAATTCTCTCCATGTTCTTCACATCTATTGGCTTTTGGATCTGCTGATTACCAGATACACTGTTATGATCTTAGACATGTAAAGATTCCATGGTGCACGTTAGCAGGACATGAAAAGGCTGTAAGCTATGTGAAGTTTTTGGATTCCGATTCCGTTGTTTCTGCATCTACTGATAATACATTGAAGATTTGGGACCTGAAAAAAACCAGTTTAGAGGGGATTTCTACTGATGCTTGCTGCATGACCTACAAAGGTCACACTAACCAAAAGGTTAACACCCTTTGTGTATTATAGCATCCTACTTTCATTTCTTTTTTGTACTTTCACATTTTTTTGAAAATCTATCCAGTTATAATTGTGAAATTGCTTTGTAGTTAGATGACATTGCTATAATTAGGTAGAATTTTCAAAGGACAATACTGTAATAGGAAAAAATAGTAGGATGCTAATCATGCTATAAAATATAAGCAACAATTCAGTGGAAGTTAGGCACCCTTATGTGGAAATTTCAAGCATCTAATAATGGTTTTTAATATGATATCCAAGGATTAAAAGCAAGAAATAGCAATACACTTTCTTTTTTATTTGTGTATCATAGCATCCTACTTTTAGTTCTTTCTATTACAGCATTATACTTTCAGTTCTTTTCTTTTAAAGGCATTGCACTTTGTAACATCTGCCCATTTATAGCATTGTACTTTCAACTTCTTTCTTAATAAAACATTCTACTTTAAAAAAAAAATCTTACTTTTAATAGTGAAATTTGATTCGTATTTTGATGGCATAAATATTGTTGGAAGTATGATGCTATAACAAACAAATCAATAGGAGGGCGACACCCTTATGTGAAAATTTCAAGCATCTAATAATGGTATTTAATAAAATATTCAAGGAAAAAAAAATGCAAGAATTGATAACGCATTTTTACTTTTTTGTGTATGATAGTATCCTACTTTCATTTATATTTATTACAGCATAATACTTTTTTTTACTTATCAAGGCATTGTGTTTTGAAAAATCTACTTAATTGTAGCATTGCATTTTCAATTTCTTTCTTATTAGGTCATTATACTTTGTAGAATCTAGCTATTATTGGGTAGATTTTTCAAAGTATTCTGTAATAGGAAAAATATATATATTCCAAATCTGACCCTTTCCTTTTTCTCCTTATTCAGAACTTTGCTGGCTTATCTGTTCTTGATGGATATATAGCATGCGGTTCTGAATCCAATGAGGTATTAGAATTATTACTACTCAAACTATTACAATTTAATTACATTATATCAAATTAAGGATTTTTTTATTTATTCCTTTTCTGTTCAGGTTTATGCTTATCATAAAAGTTTCCCAATGCCAATTACTTCCTACAAGTTCGGAACCACTGATTCCATTTCCGGTGGTAACAATGGAGAGTTTGTTTCCAGTGTTTGCTGGAGGGAAAAATCAAATATGATTGTTGCTGCCAATTCAGGTGGACATATAAAGGTTCTGAAAATGTTGTGAAGGGCCTATCTATGTTCACTAATTTTACAATTCTAGCCTCCCAAACTTCAGGCCTGCTATAAGCAGTAATGTGGAAATGACTAGTTTGCCCTTCAACCCAAAAAAAAACAATTCCATATAGTCATAAACGATATTAGCAAGAAAAAGTGGTGGGAATTGGCGGCATTAATCTGGAATTGTTGCCGGAAAACCATAAACGCAGTCAGACTTCCGGCAACTTCTACCACCTGAAAAGAATTTCCGGTCAGAAACATGAAGGAAATGTCTTCGGAATCAGGTAAAGATGCAACTTTTTTTTTTTTTTTTTTCAGTTTTGTTATTGAAAATATTACAAGATAGGAGATTTATGTATGTCAGATTAAATCATATCTTCTTTTATTAATATGAGGAAATAATGGTTTTTTTTTCATGGGGCTAAATGCAATTAACCCTATTCTGTTAAACCTGAAAGCAAATCAGCAAGTTTTGATCAAATCGATCAACATCAAATATTTTCGGGGTTTGGGATGAATAGATTTTCATTTTTTACTAATTAAGACATTATAGCATTTTACTTATACAATTTTTTTTGCTTATTAGGACATTGTAGTTTGAATAATCTACTCAATTATGGCAGTAAAAATTGCTATATTTAGGTAGAATTTTCAAAGTATAATGTTGTAGTAGGAAGAAATAAAAGTAGGATGCTATCGTAAACATATAAATAAAAGTATGTTGCTATTTCTTGCAATTTAACCCTTTTCTGTGAATCCCAGAAGCAAATGAGCAAGATTTGGTCAAATCTGATTAAGATTTGTTAGTCAACATCAAGGATAGTTCACAGCAAGGCAGTTAGGATAAAATGTTAGAAAGGTTTATTGTTTTTTGTGATTATCTTTGTTTGTAATTAAATGATTTTGATGTAAGCTTAGTATTATCTCAAGTTCCATGATTGATGATTGATATGGATTTTTATTTACACGTAAATTTTTTTCTAAATAAATATTAATAAAAAAGTTTGGCCTTCTACAGTTTTTGAGGTACGATTTACCCTTTCTATCATTAGTACATAAACATGCAATAAAGTATGCAACGTTCAAATTAACAAGGAGTGGTTGTACTTCTAAACATTTTCTTTTGGATAACCGATAAAAGAAACAATAACTTTTTTTGTATGAGTTGATGTGGGTGAGTTTGGATTGACTTGTAAACATTTTCTTGTTTGATTTTAAACTTTTTATAACGACTATTGTGTTAAATATGATTTACAAAATTATATTATTACAATAACTTTTAGTTTTTAAATAAAACGATTTAGAAGATTATATAACTTGACTTTAAACAAGTTGATTTTTCATCGAATTATTGTAGCTAGTTCCTGTCGAATTTCTAGGTATAGACATTGATTCCGCGGAGGTGAGTTTCGAGGGCTCCACGGAATCGACTTAATTTCCGAGGAACTGATGTGGGAAAAAAAACATTCTGAAGATCCATTTCGCAGAGCTACCTCCGAGGAATGAACTCATTTCGTGGAGGCAGCTCCGCGGAATGGATCTTCAGGATTTTTTTTTCCACATCGATTCTTTAGGGCTTATACTCATTCCGCGGAGCAAAAGTTCATTCCTCGGAGGTAGCTCTGCGGAATTGTTCTTAAGATAATTTTTTTTGCCACATCGATTCCTCGGAGCTTATACTCATTCCGCGGAATCCATGTCTATACTTGAAAATTCGATTTTTTGTGTCTATTTTTTGGAACTCAACCCAAAAAAATGTCTATATCTGGCAAAATCCCCAACTTTTTTTTTTTGTATATATCTGATTCTTTTTACCGACCTTACAAGCAAATCATATTGGTTGTTATTTTTAATAAACCGTTGGAAATTGACGGACTTTTGATCAACTAAGACTAGTCGGTGTGGGCACCGACGTTTTTAGAAGAAAAAAAGAAGAAAACGGGCGTTATAGGATGTTGTACTGGTAACGGGAAGCAATGTGCATGCTTATAACGTGCAAAAACAGGGAGGGGTGTGTTTGTGCCGTTATAACGAGCAAAAACGCCCCCAAGGCGTTGCCCACACCTAACAACCTAAGGGGTTTAGAATTGCAATTAGAAACCGATTATTTGATTAATGCATTTTCAAAACACAAATAATCAGGCTTTACTGTTTGACAACTCCAAAACTGATTATGAGTATTGACAACTCCAAACATTGTTGCTACGTGCTATCATTGAAGAATGACAAATGACATCAAAATATCATATTTTATATAAAATTTGATGTTTTATTAAAGAAATGTCATTTTTGACATGTAATTAAAAAACAAACTTTTATAGGATCTTTATATTATTTATAGTTGTAAAAAAGAAAAATACCTTTAAATGTATTCTTTAAACCATTATCTCGAAATTAAAAACAGATTAAAGATATAAGGTGTGTGTTTCATTTTGGTATTATTTGGTTAATTGTTAGTTTAATGGTAAAAGAATAGATTTGGTTTATAGAAAAATGGTACAAGTAGCGCGTAGCATACTTTCTGTCGGTATGCAAATCAACAACCGGAGAAATCGCCGGAGAATGAGATGCAGTGGTACGTCGTCGCATCGCTCCTCACAGTTCTCACCAGTTCTCAGGTACATTTCGCTCTCCTAGAACCCTAATTTCCACTTCAAATCGCAAATGAACACACTTCTTTCCATGTAATTTGCGTTTTACAGCACACTTAAACCGAATCAACGTCTGTTTTTGTCATTTTGATTTTGAGCGTACTGATTTTGTTTTTTCGTCATTGTTGCTTCGAGATTACTCAAATTTAGTAGAGTTTGAACTTATTATCCAATTTTGTGCGAATTTAGTTAGGTTTCACGTGATGATTCATAGCCAAATGGTTACGAAATTAACTAATAAGTTGCTTCTGAGATTTAATGTTTATTGCTGCAATAAATATCTTGCATCTTTCACAGCATTGTTTTACTGGTTTGATCCGGGATGGGGATGGGGGAATTGTTGCCAGAAATCTCTTACTTTCCAAATAATGTGTTTTCATGATGATTTTGTGATGATTTGGATCTTCTCCTTTACATCCTGATATTCTAACGAGTAATCAATTTCGACCATTGCATCTGCTTTAGCAATTAGGGTTTCCTAATGCGGAGGTGTGAGAACTCTTGAGACATTCCATGATTTTGGATGTAGAACATTATGATGTTTAATTTTCTCAGCTACTAATTGCACACTTTCTATTTCATCAATCAGGGAATTTTGACTACATTGTCACAGAGTAATGGGGGATACAAGTATGACTATGCAACTATTCCTTTTCTTGCTGAAATCTTCAAGGTATTTATTTCTTCATGTGACTAGATATAATTTAAGCGCTATTTCATGATGAAGAACCTAATTACATTCCTTTGGAATTGCAGCTTATTGTGTCCAGCATCTTCCTATGGAGAGAGTGTAAGAAATCACCCCCTCCTAGAATGACAACAGAATGGAAGAGTGTTCGTTTATACCCAATCCCCTCTATTATATACCTCATCCATAACAATGTTCAGTTTGCAACCCTCACATATGTTGATACATCCACATATCAAATACTTGGAAATTTGAAAATTGTCACTACAGGAATATTATTCAGGTAAGTTCCCCGATCTTTTTGTTTAATTCATTTGCACTTAATGGTGGTTGTTATTAAATTATGAAATTGTTTAATTTTTTAGGCTGTTCTTGAAGAGAAAGCTCTCCACATTGCAGTGGATGGCAATAGTTTTATTGGCTGTTGGAACAACCACAAGTCAGGTACTAATAATATCTATCACCAGCATTGTGTTTGTGTTTTCTCCTTTTGTATCAATCACATGAGATAAATTCTATCCAACATAAGCTTTTAGCTGATATCTGCAAAAAGTTTTTTACTTTTTTTGTTGAAAATATAATAATTAAGAGTAGATATTGATAAACTTCATTAAGGACATAATTGCTTTGTTTATATAGGTTAAAGGATGTGGAGGAGCATCTTGTGAGTCACTCTTCTCATCCCCAATCCAAGGGTACATGTTAGGTGTGTTGTCAGCTTGTCTTTCAGCATTAGCCGGTGTTTACACTGAATTCTTAATGAAAAAAACTAACGACAGTTTATACTGGCAGAATGTTCAACTCTACACGTAAGCTTTTTATTCCTTTTTTTTTTTTTTTTTTTTTTTATAATAAATATGACAATAAATGTTTTATTTATTTTTCATTCAGGTTTGGTGCAATTTTTAACATGGCAAGACTTTTTGCGGATGATTTTAGAGGAGGATTTGAGAAAGGAGCATGGTGGGAACGCCTCTTTAATGGCTACACTATTACAACATGGTTGGTGGTGTTGAATCTTGGTTCCACTGGTTTACTAGTCTCATGGTTGATGAAGTATGCTGACAACATTGTCAAGGTTTGACTTTTTGACTTCCAATTTATTTAAAACATTTGACTCTTCTCTTAATTAGTTATTGCTCAATTATATTATTATATGATTGCAGGTGTATTCCACATCAATGGCTATGCTACTCACAATGGTTTTGTCTGTGTTCCTCTTTACTTTCAAACCAACATTACAAGTAAGTAACACTACTCACTCTTGACAATTTAATTTATAAATTATCAATTAATGAAATTGTACACATTAAAACTTATATATTTTTCTTTGTAGCTTTTTTTGGGTATTATTATCTGCATAATGTCGTTACACATGTATTTTGCACCTCCAACCACACTTGTTGACTTGCCTCTGAAGTCAACGCCTGTTGAAGTTTTAGTAGACCGAAGAACAGATACAGATTCTTGATTCATCTTCTTCTTCAAAATAGACAATTATTTGGTATTTGGTAGGTTGATGCTATTTTTTTTTTTTTACTCATTTGAACCATAAATATTTTTCTATTCCATGATGTAATTGATTTTTAGTACAATATTTGATCCAAAAAGAAAAAGTACAACAACCCATTTGATTACTGTGGGGTATGCAAGTATATGCATGGATATGATATGAGGTAGACGGTTGACACTTGTTTATATTAAAATTCCAATGTTTTTGATTGATGTTAGAAACGATATCGTTTTAAAAACATGTTGTAGATTAAAGTTATATTAAAAAATGTAGATGTGGAAAATGTGTAATTTTGTCTTAAGATTTGTTAAACATGAAGCCATGACCTTTTAATTTCTCACAAGGTATAAAATAGATGCTTTGAAAAAAAAGAATATCTATCAACGAACTGTGTCAACTTGTAAGTTTTAAAAGCATCATTTTTTCTATTTAGTTTGATACTTTGATACATATGCTGTTCTAATTTTGTATTATATTTGTATAAATTTGGATAAAGTTATTCTATTATTTGAATTAAATGTTTTTGTTACCTGTATATGTTATATTACCATGTGTAGTTTGAACCAATATAGCAATGAACTTTATCAAACTAGACACTTTATTTATTTATCTTTACCTGTGATAGCAATCAACTAATATTTCAATTAATTTAAGTTGACGTCACTTCAGCTGATAACTTTTGGAGTTATATATAACGGTGTCAGATAATAACAAATGTTAGTGTTTTTCTTTTTGAACAACCAATTTTATTAAAGAGGAGCTAAGACCGGTAGGTTGCCCCAAGAGGCGTTCTTTTCCCACTGAATCAAACTTTTTTTTGTCATACTCATTAAGTTCCTATTAGTATCCATGATACAAGTCGGATCCTAGATGTAGAAATATAAAATAAGAAGGTGGATCTCTTCTTCATCGAAAGAAATGAGATTATCGCGGATACAAAACATTCAATTAACAAAATTAACCAAATTTCCCTGATGTAGAGGCAATCAAGAAAGCTGCATAAGTAAATATATAACCTACAGAAAAGTGGGCTAATCCAACTAATCTTGCTTGTACAATGGAAAGTGTCACCGGTTTATCTCTCCAACGAATCAAATTGGCCAAAGGTGTGCGTTCATGAGCCCATGCTAAAGTTTCAATCAATTCCTGCCAATATCCACGCCAGGAAATTAAACCTCTCTCTCTCTCTCTCTCTCTCTCTCTCTCTCTCTCTCTCTCTATATATATATATATATATATATATATATATATATATATATATATATATATATATATATATATATATATATCTATAATAACATTTGAACACCATTTCCTACATAAATCAAATGGTGTTAAGGATGACATGGCATGTGAGCTGACAAATTTTGAATATGATAGCATGTCTTAACATGTTGCCCACACCCAAAAGCCTAAAGGAAAAAAAAAACTATTATGTAGAAATTACCAAACTTCGGTTGTTTAACCACAAGACCCGGTTAAGCCACAATTATCGTTTCCAACTAACAAACCAAGTAAGGAAATTAAACCATAGAACAAAATTCAAAAATAGTTTACCAATTAAACGGAAACTCAACCATATAATCAAAATTCAAAATAGTTTCACTCCTATACTTTTGTGACCCGAAGACGATAGGGTTGCGATAGTTCCATAAGACCCATCAAGTAGTCATAATGGTAGCTTTATATTTAGAGATTCATACCCGTAAATAATCAAATCATGCCACTGCAAAATCACACCATCTAACTATGACATTACACATTCTAGCTGCCAATTCACAATCCTCAAAACAAATTATCCATATCTTTGGGATAATTAGAACACATCGGATATAACACTTAGGGCATGTAACTCCTCTACAAACAAAATTTAGTTCGGATGACATATATCCAATATGATTCTCCAAGCTAAAATATTGACATTTATAGGCGTATATTGATTCCATATGGTCCTTATATGACCATCTTCCAAAATTACATCCATCTCTCTCTCTCTCTCTCTCACACACACACACACACACACACACCACACACACACACATATATATATATATATATATATATATATATATATATATATATATATATATATATATATATATATATATATATGCAGTTATAACGGTCCAAAATCAAATATCGGTCAAGGGCCGACATTCGATATATGAGTTATCGCGGTGGGATATCAGTGTGATATCAGTATTTTTATATTACGTAGCGCCTTTGTAACCTTGTGTTGTATTGGATGAATACAAGGTCATTAAGTAAAACATATAGTAATTAGAAAATGTTGGAAGCAAATGTTTGTCAATCCCATAAAAACCCCACCATATATCTACATTTTAATAACAAATGAAGCGATTTAATAAAAACTTTAGCTAAAAACGCTATTTCACCGCTATCCCACCGATATTTGCCAAATATCGGTCAAATAGCGGTCAAATATTGATCAATATCGCCGATATTTGCGGTACCGCTATTTTGGACCGCTATTTTGCCAACTACCGATAACCGCTATCCCATCGCTATCTCACCGCTATTGACTGCACACATACACATACACACACACACACACACACATATATATATATATATATATATATATATATATATATATATATATATATATATATATATATATATGGTTAGGTTCAAATGTAAATGACATCTATTGTGTAACTGTAACTGTGTAACACAATTCTGACAATTGGATTAATGAAAATAGAATCATTCTTGAAAGAATACGATTACATTTATTAATAATTTTCTTTTAAGAATTCAAATTTCAAATCCATTTGAGGAGTAATATGGACTTTTATTTTAGGCAATAAAATAACCAAATCCGGATTTTAGGATTTTATTTATTTATTTATATTTGTAACAGCCCAAAAACCAGATAAAATTTTTTCATTTTTAAAAATAGAAATTACAATCATAATTTGTTTCCAAAAATCCATTACATCATATCATGTCAAATTATCAGTGTATCAATATCAATGAGTGCGGAAAATGTTGGAGAGTGAATGTTGCGCCATCAAGCCGGACCATTCCCTTTAGTACCGGAAGCACCTGAAATCACCCAAATAAACTGTAAGCAAAAGCTTAGTGAGTTCCCAAAATACCACATAACATACAACCACAGAATACCATGCGACATATATATAATTGTCATGGGCTACCCTCATGGTTTTTCCCTGGATTGCCATAAGCTACTCCCATGTCAAGTAATGGGGCCGACATTAGTAATGGGGCCGACATTAGTGCCTTCGACCCATTGATATAGTGAGAAGACTCACCTCAGACTGCTGATAAATAATAACTGCTTGGCCACCGATTCGGAAATCTCACACTATAAATATACAACTTACCCTAGTTACAATTATGATACAAACCCACTCATGGGCCCAAAATCCCTAAGTCCAAATTCTTCAAATAAGGCCTAAAGGCCTTTCTCTTCTAATGGTTCCAACTACCCTTGGTCCAAAATCAATAACGGGCCATAAGGCCCAAAAGGCCCAACTATGACCCCCCCCCCCTAAAGACTTGGAGGTTAAAGATCAAAATACCATCATGAAGGTTAAAGATCGATTTCTAGGGTTTTGAGGACTTGGAGGTTGGTAAAGAGGCCAACCCTAAACACTAAATGTGTTTATATAGGGTCCAAATACCAAATATTAGGGTTTTCCTCTAAGCCTCGTACGCTCCACGTATTCCTTGTACGCCCAGCGTACGTGGTTCCACACCCCCGCCACAACCTTCGCAGTACACTATGCGTACCGTGAACTATGCCTTGCGTACCACCCTTCGCACCTGTACGACCTGCGTACTTGCTAGGTACGCCCCGCGTACTCGGAATTCCCTTCAAACCCTACACATTCCAAAACCATAACTTCTTCGATACATGTCCGATTCCAACGATCCATATATCCACAAAAAGGTAACGATAAGCTCTATGATTTAATCAACTCGTGCCCGCCATAACATATCCCGATCAGACATCCATTTCCATAGAAGCCCAAGCTGACAAATTACCGAAATACCCCTTTAACTCCAAAACACAAACCGAATATCCAGATCATCCAATATACATCATTCACCTCCGAATGAGCTCACAACTAACTTCTTTAAGGATTTTAAACCTGCTAATACCCAATCCTTGATCACCACCGCGAAATGAAAACGATTTGAAACAGGGTGTTACAATTGGACTCTTCTAGTCTAGGTTTACTGAATTTTTCTCATTTCTTCAGTATTTTAAACAATTTTTAAAATACTAGGGATTTGACATTAATTATTAGAATTTAATCAATATCTAAATTAATAATCATTTACACATTTAAAAAATTAATTATATTAATCAATTAAAATACTTAATCAAGTCAAAGATTTATCTCCTAATTTATAGGCTTTTATTTAATTATCAAATATATAGGCAAATTCGAATTTGGCAGATATAAAACAGATAATTACCAAATAATAAGCATGCAAAACATATTACGTAGATAAAATCGAAAAAATTGAGTTTTTCTAGATCTCACGTCGTGAGATATAAAAAACAATTTTTTTGTTTGTTCGTTTCACTTATGTGTAATTAGATGAAAGACAACCATAGTCTAATGGAAATCGTAGGTTACAACAACAATGCTTTAAGCGGAAAAACAATTAACAATTAATCATATCAGGGCACATGTAACCTTAAGGATCTATGTCTTTCACATAAAGGCTACATACTATGAATTATCAAACTACAATAATCATAAAGAAATCAGAATTCATGAAGGAAGATTGCATACCTTTGATTTGTTATAGTAAACAAATCAAATCCAATTGCTCTTGTAGTCACTTGGAAGCTAGCACCAGAAATCTCATGCCTGTAATGTTTCACACCCAAACCCTAGCAACTATAGAAAACTTTGAGGAGAGAGGAGAAGAGGGGAATTTCGGCTGGCTTCTTGATCAAATAAGTATGGTCGAAATTGCAAGTGAATGTCTCTATTTATAGCTGAACCAGGAAACCCTGATAATAATTTAAATATAATATTATTATATTAAATTAGGTAATTATCCTACTTCCTATTTATCTCTAAGGGACATTCTAAAAGCCCTAGAATGGGTCAAAAACTGTCCACCTTGTATGGAGGGTTGTAGAATCCCTTTTGTTCAACTATTAAACAATTACAACTTAGGTCATTGCACTTTTAATTAATCCAAATTAAACCCAAAATTAATTCTAATTATTTTCTGATTAATTCTTAATTAAATATTACTATTTCAAATTAATATATTATTATCATAACATATAATAAATTCATTTATTTCTATTTATTAATCATATAATAAATCAATAAATTAGTCTCTATCTAAAAGTCATCCTATTCAATTACTAGATTTGAGGGCAACCCAAAAGGACTTTGCTAATAATTTCAAGTACATACTAATTCAGTTACTGGCTTAAACACCTAATCCAACAAATGCACGGGTCGACATATCTGAAGATAGCAACACGGGAAATGGCCAATTGCATGATCAATTTTGGTTACGTGTTTATGTAGCGGTTTTGTAAGGGTATGGGTCGGGATCAAGATTACTGGACTTCCGACCAATGTAACTCGAAATGGAATCTTGTAAACAAACTCGTCACACAATGGAACGAAATTTACGCAAACTTTGAAAAGCAATGGGCTAGCGGAGAAAGTGAAGCGAGTTTGTTGAAAAAAAAAACGCATGTGACATTCCAAGATGACATGTTATACCTTTTTAAGTTCATTTATGTATGGGAAGTTGTCAAAAGAAGTATTAGGTGGAAAGAGCTTGCAACACATGAAGACATTGTTAATCCGCCAAAAAGAAGCTGGACATCTTCATATTCGAGTTCACAAAAAATGTCATCGGATGGTCACATAGATGTTGATTTTAATGATGATAACGACGACATCGAAGAAATACGCCCGTCTCCTCGTCCCATGGGAAGGTACAAAGCAAAAGTTCGAGCAAAAGGGAAAATGAAAAGCGACATCGTCAAATTCATCGGTCGGAACGGAGTGGTCAACTATATTGGAGGAAATGATGGCACAAATAACACAATTGAATACAATCGTGGAGAAGCATATGACTGAAACTGTCCGACTCATAGAATATTCGTTGTTAATGCAAGACGTGAGACACTCGACCCCGAAGATCAGGAGGCGGCTAAAGCGGTGAATGCGTCGATTCGAGAAAAATATAATCTAAAATGCAAATGAAATTTCGATCTTATGTTTTTTTTAGGATTTCTAAAATGTAACTTTTAATTTTAGTATGGTTTTTACTTAAAAAAGTTCTTATTTTTTTTATTGAAATTTAAAAAAAGTTCATAGGTCACTACATCGTAGTCTATAGGTAAAAACTGTAAAAAAAAAAATATAAAAGCCGATGTGGTGCCTATGTGACATAGTTTTACCATTGACAAAAACATCATCACATCCTTTAGCCTATTATACATAAATGATATTGATATCATATAACTATAATTTAACTAATATATTATAGTTTTTGTCTTATCATCTTATGATCTTTTAGTAATATCATATTAAAAGAAAATTTTGATCGAAGGCATTTACGAGTTATCAAAAGTTAAACATTACCTATAGTTATCAAAAGTTAATGAATATCCCTCACTTAAATGTTAAAAGTTCAAGAAGTCATGATAAAAAAATAAATAAATAGACAAACCATTAATTCTAAGAAAACTTCATATTCATCTAGAAATTTAAAAATAACTCGATCTTTCCTCATAATGTATAAATAGACATGTAGATATCCTTCGGAATTTAAAAAATGTGACGTGTATAACAATCCTATACAAATTAAACAAACTATCCTTTAACACGCTTTTATAAGAAACTCGAGGGAATTGGTATTACATGAATGAAGAGAAGTTTTTTGCCAAAAAGAGTTTGGGATAAAAAAAAGTACACCAAAATTTTCAAAGCTGATTATATTAAACGAAACCTATTTGGATTATGACACTAAATACTTAGGGATAGTGCCGAGATATGGGGCATGATAGATTATAAATACCAATCATGACTTCGATAAAGCACATTTACAGACGTAACTTCTGTTCCAACAATGGGTGCAACTAGGGGCTTTCTAATCGCAGCAATGCTCGCCATATCAGTGGCCGGATTTCCTTCGTTCGCCGAAGCTCGATCGCTGTCACCGGTGCCGGCTCCTTCCAGCAATGGTAAACATTCATATTCTTTCTCTTTTTTCGCTTTATAATCATATCTTTTAATGATTGGATCATCGTGTTGTTGTGTATATCTGGATCTGATTTAAGCTCTGTTTCCATGATTCATGTTGTGGTGGAATCGATTTGTTTTTGGCTAATTATAACATAATCATCGATCATTACTATTTAGGTCCATCATTTTCAATCGATGAAGAGAGCAAATCCGTCAAGCAAGAACACACCGAAGTGGAAGAAGAGAAAATCATGGGTATCATAATACCACTATTAATTTGGGGAGCAGCACAACAAAATCAAACTGATGTTTTGGAATCATCTGCACCATTGATACAAGCTTCGTCTTTCTCATGGAAAAGAGTTTTGGTTTTAGGTTTGGTTTTGTTTTATGGGTTTTAGGAAATTTATGAATTGATTGATTTTTTTACTTCAATTTTATAAGAACTTTCCACGAATTTTTGAAAGTTGTTTTGTTGATTGTTACTTTGTAGGTGTAATCGAAATTTCTAAAGGGATTTTATAGTTTAATGTTAGGCTTAATTATATATTGAGCAAAACTTGCATGGACATTGTAAAAGCAATATTGTTATTATATAACTAAGCAAAAATTGTTAAATGATTTAATAGGGGTGATTCTAAATTTAATTTTCTATCCAATATAAAATAATGGTTTTTTGACATCAACGAAAAATAATATATATAAAGTGGATTTTTTAAAGTTTACTTTTATTTAAATAAAGAGAAAATGACATGTTAGCTTTACAATGTTTTCAGAATTGGCCTAATCAATTCATAAATTATTTTTGTTGCTTCATAGGGGCATAAATTGGATTTTGTCAGGTCTAAATAGTCACTTTTGACAAAACGAAAGGATAGTCACTTTTGACAAAACGAAAGGCATAACCCGCTTACCCTTTATGCCACATTTAATTGGTGTAATCACTTATTTGTTTATTATAAGAGAAATGATGTCTCCCTCTCTCTCACACACACACATACAATTCATCTCCCTTTCCTATTCATCATCTTCTTAGGGCATGAGGTCAACGTTTGTCTTCTTTGATTCCAATCATGCCTGCTCTCTCGAAATTTATGGTGGGATAAATATAAAGGTGAAGGACTAAATCTGTTAATGTCACTACAGGAGTCATATCATATTCAATTGATTTCATGACATATAAAACTGGTTATTCTAGTTTAAATGGACCAAATAGATAGATTGAAATTCACCTTATGCCCACATAAAACAACAAAAAAGTTTAGGAACTAACTAAACCAATTCCAAAAACATTGTAGGGCCAAAGCGCCATTTCCCCTTAAATAAAAGATCTAAATCATCATCATTTGTGATAATGAAACTCACTGACCTTATGAAACTCATTGATGCGAAGCCCATGAAATCCTCCTTGGAGCTCCATGCAATTCTGGTTGAACCCCACCATCTGTGAAAGCGACTGGTGCTTGTGGTGGGGTGATGTTGTGGTGTTGGTGATGATGAAGAAGTTACATGGGAAGGGTTTTGAAAAAGAATATATGGTGGGTAGTTCTTTTTGGGTTTTATGTTTATGAGATACAAGGAGCGAGAGCGAGATACAGGTAGCAGCCATAGCAACCGAGCTTCAATGGAAGAAGAAGAAGATGGAGGACTTACCGGTATATATATATATATATATAATATATATATATATATATAGAGAGAGAGAGAGAGAGAGAGAGAGATGTGGGCTTAAGATCGTGTATTTATTTGTTTTTTTATAATAACTTTAATTAAAACTATTTCTAAGATAAAACAAAAAGGGTATAAAGTCCTTTTAGGCGAGACATGAACCAACATTGATAGAAAATATAAATGACATGGATCATCTATGAAATTTTTTAAATTTAAAGACTATATCACAGATTTCGAGAAACCACAATGACCATTTTTGAGGTTTTGTCTTTTTTTTTTTAATAAGTTTGCATGCAATTCCAAAAACGAACTATATCCCCTATATATTTAATGTAATTAAATTAATATTTTAATAACCATATTTATATTATGAATAGTTTAGATACTAACGGTTTGAATGATAAATAGTTTGGATACTAACGGTTTGAATGATAGATCATACCCACCTCATTTTTTAGGGCTATTTATTATACCCAACCCCATTTTATCATCTTTGAAGGTTAAATCACTTTGTACACACATGGCCATGCGATCTTTTTTTTTTGAAACGGCAAACAAGTACAAATGCATTAAAAAAAGCCAGCAGGGAGCTGGGCGAAATCAGTACATACATAAAATGGAAGTAGGATGAAATTTTGAAGTGAGCTAGACTAGACAAACTAATGGTAAACTGAAGATTTGTATTGTAAACCAAAACTCATGACTAAACTGAAATTCGCCAAATGAGAACGACTGTATCTTCAACCTTTGAATGAGGCCACACCAACAGGGCATTACGGGCAAAAATATCCGTGCTTCAGTCCATAAATCTAGATCCACCATGAGGGGAACCTTAGTCAGTAAGCTCTGGGATGCATAATACTCTTCTGGGAAAACAAGATGCGTCCAATTTTTTGGCAAACATATGTGAGGCTGTCTTCAAGAAGATTCTCCAAGTGAGCATATTCAGAAATTTATGCAACATAAGCCAAGAAGTGTCCAGTTGAGAGACCCTGCGAAAAGAAACAAACCGAGAGAGAGAGAGAGAGAGAGAGAGAGAGAGAGAGAGAGAGAGAGAGAGAGAGAGAGAGAGAGAGAGAGAGAGAGAGAGACGCCAAAATAGAATTCACCCGCACCCAATTTTTGTAACGCCAAACACACGAAAGAAACACGAAAGAATGCCAAGCACAATTATGTTCCTAGAGAGATAACTACCCAAGAGAAAGAAAAACACACGCCAAACACACACTTAACTGCAACTTGACATACTCCAAGACACCAATTAAATTGACCCAAAATGACCCAACCCCCCCCCCCCCCAATGAACTTTACAGCAGGTCGGACTCAAGAATTGGATTGCAGCACCATTCTAACCATCTAAGCTTTTTAGATTTATGCCTAGCATTAATCTATAGATATGATAAGGTCTGGATTTCATCTGCGAGACCAGAAGGAGAGATGTGTTTGTCTGAACAAGCAGATGACCCATATAAAGACCAACGATACAGCTTCGTGGAACACTCCTAGATCTTTTTTAGGTGGAAGATTATTCTTACACTGAAGTACATACGATCTCTCTTTCCTCTTGTTTTTACTAATCATAGACTAGGATCCATGCTCTATTTATCTGTCTTTTTATATTTGTTTTTTTTTCTCCCTTAGTCAAAACAATCTTGAAGAAGAAGGCTGGAGGTTTTTTTTTTGTTGGTGTGTTCTAGAACGGCCAGAAACAAATATGTTATACGAACGCTTTTTGTTATTGAAAGGTTTGGTTTGTTTAGATTATTACTAAATCAGTTTGTTTTGAATTCTTAATGAAATTGGTTTGTGAAGGATTTGTTCTGATTTTTTTCATCTGGATTCCCCCATCTTTTGTGGGTTTATGTTGTTGCTCCACATCATGTTTTCTATTGTGTTTATTTTGTTAATATGTTTCCGATTTATGGTTTATCTTTTGCATTTTTTGTTATTTTTTTAGCTTTTGATTTGGTTCATGGGTGTGAGATGGATGGTAGTTGTTTTGGATAGTGGACGGTGGTCGATGGTGGTTTATTTTACAAAAAAGACAAAATATGCTATACATATAAAATACTTTTTCAATTTCTATATGAAATTATTCTCTTTGGTAAGTTAAAAAATAGATAAATATTATTTTATATTCTGGTTTTTTTTTTTCAATGTAGATGAGATTAGTTAAATGATGTAATTTATTTGAGAGAAAGAGAGATCTTATTTACAACTTTTCAAAAAAATAGTCATAACTTAACCAAAAATTTAAGAATGTTTATTGATTTTGAGAAATCACCAAACAATTGTTTTTAGAGTAAATTAACGATTTGTTTCTCGTCCAAGTGTCAAATTACATGTTTAGTCTTTATTTTTTAAAATTAATTCGGACCGTCCATGTTTTTTTTTTTGACAAAATTGCAAAAATAGTCCCTGGTATGCAATTTTTTTGGGGTTTCAGTCAAAACCTTGATTTTTTTGGATTCATAGTCCTTTTGACCTAGTTTGTACGTAGAATTGGTCTATCGACTTAACTTCCGTTAAGTTGTTGCTGTTAACCTCCTCATGTGCCTCGCACATGAGGGTATATTCATCTTTTCACTTCTAAAAGAACATTTTGCACCTAAAAAAAATAAATCCTCTTTTTGAACACTTCTCCTCCTTCGCTTGAAATCACGTTTTGCAGGGCATGTATTTGGAACGAGAACGAGACCCACTGTTGAGTCTCTCGATTTTGGTCGGACGATATTAGGCAGCAACAAAAAAATCACTACACTGTTGGAGGAAACTTACAATTGCACTTGGTGGTTGGTCGGTGCTACAGCAGCAACCGGCGGTGGTGATGATCGGAGCTCCACAACAGTGGCGACCTGCTATGGTGGTCGGAGGTTGCTCCGGCAGCCTTCGGCCTCGTTTTTAGTTGGGTTCTGATCGAAATCAGCGGAGAAAACGAATGAGAGTGGTGTTTGGTGGTAATTTTCAGTCGACAGGAGGGGGTATAAGGTGGTGGTCAGATGAAACAGCAGCGGTGGTTGTGGGTGGTGTTCTCGCCGGCGAAGGTGGTGGATGGCGGTTTCTGGCGTTTCTTACAACAGGTATGGTGGTGGTAACTGATTTTCTGAAAATGAGAGGGGATTAGGGGCTGTTGGTTGACAAAAATGGCCAATGGTGGTGGTTTACGGTGAGGTTGCGGTGGTCTATGGCGGTCAAAGGTGGTGGCAATGGTGGATAAAAGTGACGATATGTGGTGGTGTTTCTAACTCAAGGGTCTGGCTGATCAATTGTGTGATGAGGGTGCAATTCGAGCTTCCTTCTTAACGTTCATAAACCCTAGCAAGGAGGGGAGGTGATAAATGGGTTAAGAAGAAAAGACAATGTTTTTCACCATTAGAGTGTGACAATTCTTGATCACTTAGTAGCCTCCCCTACACATTCCCTAATTACATGTATGTTGACTTCCATGAGAGAGAGAAAAGAGAGGACCTCTTTTATTTTTTAATTATTAAAATAAATAAATAGTATTAATTTTTTTTTTAAAAAAAGGATATATTTTTTTAAATGCAAAAATGGTCTCTTAGAAGTGAAAAGACAAATATACTCTTATGTGGAAAACACATGAGGGGTTAACAGCAGCAACTGAACAAAAGTTAAGTCGGGGGACCAATTCTACGTACAAACTAGGTCAAAAGGACTATGAATCCAAAAAAGTCGAGGTTTAGACTAAAACCTCAAAAAAATACATACCACAGGGACCATTTTTGCAATTTTGTCTTTTTTTTTTCACTCAGACCGTCCTGGACGGACATAAAATGTCTATTTTACCATTTTGATTTATTTTTTATTTTACTTATCATTTATTTTCTAATTTATATTATTAAAAAAAAAGTCCACCACCTACACCCCACCCAAACCAGCCACTCTTTTGAAGTTTTAGGAACCCGACTTTTACTCTCCGGCTAGCCACCGGCCACCGACTACCATCTCCGGCCACTTACCACCTAGTCTAAAATGATTTCCACTTATACCATCTCTAACCACCTACCACAAGAAAACCCAACAATCCCAACAAAACTCATACACCTCTCACACTTCATTCTCCCTTACCCTCCATCCCTTTCTCCACCAGACACTTTTTTCCGGCACCACCCATTAGTAAACAACAGAGAATATGAAGGGTTCCGACCAGCTCTCGCTTTTCCTCCAGCAACCACCTGTAAAGAGCACCAAATCAAAATCCCACAGATGCGAAAAAAAGGTCTACCTGAACCATCTTTTTCCCCTCATCCTTCGTCTTCTCTGAGTACGAGTTGCAGGTATGGTGGTGGCGGCATTGTAGTTCCGTCGATGGAGGCGTTCAGATCTGATACAGATACAGGGAGGTGCAGATTTGAAGACATGAGCTTTCGTCTTCCCATCAAGATCCAGAAATCGAGGTGCAAGTCTTGTACAATGAGGTGTAGATTTGAGACAATGGCGGCGTTTACTAGTTCGCCGGAGACTATAGTGATGGCGACATAAGAAATTGAGAGGTAGATTATTTCCGGTGGACTCTAATACACCTCCAGTGTCTTCAGTGGTTGCAAATGCAAGTGATAAAAGAAAAGGGGAGGAGAAAGAAAATGAACTGATAATGAGTGAAGTGATGACGGTTGTGGATCTGGCGACCATCTCTCTCTAGCTCCAAAGATGAACCGGAGAAGATGAATGATGAGGAATGAAAAGTGTGGGTATGATTAGGTAGAGGGTAAGTGTTTGTGGTGGTGGGGTCCATTTTTTGTTTTATTTTTTACTTTTATTTTTCTTTTAAATTGTTAATAACAAACAAATCAAAAAAATATCATAAAAGAAATAGAAATGGTAAAATAGTCATTTTGTGTTCGTGAGGGACGGTCTGGGTGAGAAAAAAAACATTATAGGGATGATCCGAGTTGATGATTTTTGAAAATAAAAACTAAACGTGCAACTTGACACTTGGACGAGGGACGAATCATGTAATTTACTCTTGTTTTTAAGAAAATAATAATAAAAAATAATCGTAGATGGAATATGCGAAAATGCAAGTTTTACATGTGAAAAAGCTAAAAACAAATCAGTTTATAAACTCTTCTCATGGTAAAACTTTTAAAGACCATTTGTAACACCCCGAATTCAGGAGACCTTGAAAAGGAAGAAAACCTCAAAATGAGGAAGTGACTCGTCGAGTAGATGGAGTGACTCGACGAGTAGGATCGTGATTGGGTTGCGGGTTAAGTGACCTACTCGACGAGTCAGAAGACTGACTCGGCGAGTTGGCCAGGTTTGGGGAAAACCCTAAATGTGGGCCTTGTACCCTATTTAAGGAACATTATAGCATTCCCTCAGCCTCCTTACTACCCCCCTCAAGTCCAGAAACGAAACCCTAGCCATCCAACTCCATTCTTGAGCATTGTGAAGCTAAAAGTTGTATTGGTGGTGCACTTCTTGGAAGATTGGAAGCAAGGAACGAGGAGGAGAGTTTAGATCCAGCATCTACTTCATTTTGGCAGTTAATAGAAGGTAACAAGTTGTTACCTTGAGCATTCATTTGATAGATCTCTTCATCTTGAGTTTCATGGCCTTTTATAGCATATTGGTGGCTAGTGTTTGCATGGGGCACGATCTGAAGTTTGCAACTTCAGATCTGGACTCCCCAAGGTCCCTAATGCATTAAAGTTTCAAGATTTTAAGACATGAAGCCCTCCTCCTTAGTAAAACCCTTCCTTGTAGCTTAGTTTTATCCTTTGGGAACTATTCACACGTAAAGGTTGCAACTTTACGTGGAAACCATGCTCTAGGAGGATGGATCTACCTTTGGGAGAAGCTGTTTGGCTTAGAAATTGTCTATATAGATTGAGACATAGAGGGACTCGACGAGTCACTTATGGGACTCGGCGAGCCAGTCTACTTTCTTGCCCTAGAATCCTTATGTTAAAGGGTATGAGTTGAGTTGGTATGGGATTCAGTCAGTCTGGGTCCATAGCGGGTATGAAGATCATCGTACTCGGCGAGTTCAATGAGGAAATCGGCGAGTCTAAGGCAATCTTCTTAGTTTATGAAGATGGACTCGACGAGTTGTTCATACAACTCGGCGAGTCATAGTCTGGACATTCATAAGAGGGAGATGAACTGGACGAGTTCAAGGATGAACTCGGCGAGTCGGTTGAAGATGGTCCCGATTGTAGGACTGAAGGAGAACCCGTCGAGTTCTTGCTAGACTCGACGGGTAGGATCGGTGGTTGTATTGAGTTGGAGAAGCATGGACTCGACGAGTTGGTAGACCAACTCGGCGAGTCAAGTCAACTGGAGGTTGACTTTGACCGTTGACTTTGACCAAGTTTGACCAGGGTGAACTTTTGGAATATTGTGGTCTAAATGTTACTTTGGGTATTGATAGTTCGGGGAGCCGAAGGATCAGCAGTTCAGAAGTTGCCGGTTAGCAGTCAGAAGTGTTCAGCTAGTCTTCAGCAGTGCGAGGTGAGTCTCCTCACTATGTGAATGGGTCTAAGGCCACAATGTCGGCCCATGTAGTTATGAGTAGGAAGACCCGGGGGTTAGCCCTAGGCACTGTATGCTAGTATGATATTCCGGACCAAGGTCTGATGTCGGGCGGGTGCCCAAGGAATGTTTTGCATGTTAGATTGTACTTGTTGTCTGTGTGATACTTGTATGTGCCTGGTAGGGAGGTGAGTATGGGCGAGGTCCCGTATCTCATCATTAGCAGAGTATGGACGGGGTTCCATACCTCATTAGTAGCAGAGAAGGGGCGAGGCCCGAGATAGAAGATGAGTGAGTGTGGGCGGGGGCCCGTATCTCACTAACAGCAGGAGCATGGACGGGGTTTCATGACTTACCAGTAGCAGGACAGGGGTGAGGTCCAAGATATGCAAGACCTTAGTACAGGAATATAGTAGACTCAGTTAGCTTATGTGTTATGAATTATTTATAGGCTTGTATGTGTTTAGCGGGCGGGGCCCAGAGACAGGCGGGGCCTAAGAGAAACAGATATGTATACCGAGTGGGGCTCAAGCTAGGCGGGGCCTGGGGTCGGGCGAGGTCCGATGTAGCGAGCAAGGCCCAGTGTTTGCAGTATGTGGATATGTGTGGTATGTGGTAGGTTGGGGAACTCACCAAGCTTCATGCTTACGATTTTCAGTTTTGGTTTCAGGTACTTCCGGTAGCGGAGGGAAGAGCTCGGAATGATCGCATGACACACACCAAAGAAGTTTAGTCTGGGATGTTTACTCTGATAAAATGAACAAGTGTTTTGAAAAGATACTCCGATTTGTTATAAAAAGAAATTTTTGGTCATGATTTTTGGGATGTTTGAAATGATTTGATACTATGATCTAATAATGTTTTAAAAAGAAAATTTTGGTCATGATTTTTGGAATGTTACACCATTTCCACCACAAAAAAAATAAATAAATAATAAATAAATAAATAAAAACTTTATATGATATAACCAACAAAAAAACATTTTTATGGTAAAAAAATATTCAAAAAACATTTCCACAACAAAAAGAAGCTTTAAAAATAAAGTTTTTTGATGTTTTTTTAGAGAGTTTTCACCCAAGATAATATAGATATATAGAAAGATTAAAAAAATGTGTTATATATGGGTCCATCCAAAGGACTTGTTGATGATTTTTCAATCCATTTAGTTACCACATGCAAAATGAGTTTGATATTTTGGATTAATCATTACACAAGGGGTTATTAGTGAAGATCATATGATTAAAAAACTGTGTGATGTATGGTTTGGGACTCATAAACTTTATGCATCGATCCCACATCTTCCTGAAGATGGTAGTAATAAGAATATACGAAAAAGGTGTGTTAATGTCCAGAAAACTGTTAGCCCTGAACATTCTTATGCAAGTGTTGTTAAAGGAGTGTCTTTGCATGAATCTGAA